CGCGCCGACCATCCCCTCTTTAGTTTACTTAAACACCGCCCAATCTGATCGTCCTATTACTGCAATTGTGTAAACCATGAAATTCAAAACTGTGATTACCCTACATTGCTGTGAATTGCTGTGTTCTCTGATCAAGCCTTATGCGTGTGTCTTGACCACGATCAAGAAATATACCATTATTATCTCTGGATTTTATTTGCGTACCCATGTCTGCAAAGTCCTGTTCCAGGGTCTTTGCTGCATAGTCGACCCCGTGGTGTGTGGTCTGTCCGGGTGGCCGCCTAATGTTGCCAAGCTGGGCAGACCCTAGCAATTTTATTTTGCATATTTATATTCCCCTGAATCATAGTGCGCAATGAAGAGAAAAGTTACCGGTAGCCATGATAGTATACCCGGCACGACCTTATCCGTGGGGATGAGGTAGCCAATGGGGTCGGTCGGGGCTATTAGGTTGTAGTATGCTGGACGCAGCGTCTTCCCTGGGGGTTGCTCGTGCAAGGTCTACAGGGGATAAAAGAAAGATCAGCTGGCCGGAGCCCAGAGGTGGGATAAGCAAGCATCAGCACTTACGCCGGTAAAGATGGGCATGGCCATAGGTCTTAGAGGAGTACAAGGTAAAGATAAGTCGCAAAAAAGATCCCAGGGGACGCTTTGGGCAACCAAAATATTGGGCTTGCCAGAAAGTACGTGAATTTTTGCGGACCATTTAAAGTGCCTCCGAGACCTTAAAGTCTATGTAGAAATTTAAAGAAAACGGCTAAAATCTCGCTGCGGTGAAGAGGAGGTTACGAATCCCAAATTTAAAACAAGAATAATTCGCCGTTTTCACTCCACAGGGTTTTAAAGTGAACAAAATTTGTCAGCATACAAGAATCGTGAATATGAAGTCACAAGGAATCAAGAACGAGAACCGATGTCACTCTACGGTAAAAAACAAGTTTGTCATGGGAGACCAAAATGGGACATGTTCAAAAGGGCAACAGCGCTTTGAAGCCAGGATTAAATGTCGGTGTTGGAACCAAAGCTAGGAACAAGAAATTAATTTTGCAAGGTAATGTGAGAGGGCCGGATATTTTACTGATTTCGGATGATTTTCTGCCTCTGTTATTACCAGATGCCGCTGTTGTTTTTCTCGCAGATATCTGATGTAGTCTAGAGGGCTTAAAGTCCCGCTTGAATGCTATACTTAAGACTTTTCTCCGTCATTCTTCTCCTCCCATCTATGTTGGTAATCAGTACCTGGCATATAGCGAAGCTCAAGAGTTAATCCTATCTATCCGCCCCTCTGTGAACAGCATCCAAACCAGTGCTAAGTTGCTCCCAGCCATCTTCACTCTATCTTCAACGACAAAATACGGGTTTCTCAAATATTCTGCAAGTTCATTTATTTACTGGAGGAACAGCAACGGTCCCAGTAACGAATCCCTTGAGAAGCTGCTTGCACCCTTCTCCAACTTCCACGCCTTTGAAGAGACCTTTCATCCACTTGACAATTAGCATGTCACCACTGCGTTTATCCAAACAAGACCACCACCTGAGGATTCGTTTCTCACCTGCCAAAGAACCACATAGCATGAAATGGCCCCCCTTCCAGCGCTTCATCTGCGTGACACAAGTTCTCTGTTCCATTGTATTCTTCCCCTGTATCTCCTGTCGTTCAGTCATTCGCATTTTGTGACACTCGCATTGGCAATGAAATATCCACAATCCAGGGCGAAAGTGGTTCGATTTCACCCTCAGCTTTTCATATCAGACTTCAGCGTACCCATCTACGCAATCACCCCCACTTTCTTAGAGCCGTTCATATGAACAACTTTCATGCGACTGTATCAGTCCACTACATGCCCACCTTCCGCGCCCACTTTGTTATCAACCTTAGATTCTCCCATACTATTCACCAACGAACCCAGACAAATCCATGATTGTATCACATTACACTCATCTATGAACCATTGCATCTGTTCCACCAAGTTATCATGGTCGGCCACCTGCACCACAATCTACTGAGTGCCTTTTTTATATGTTTAACTTAAAATCAACTACCCATAACTTAGGCTGCCGTCTATCTGTTTTCCCTCCCCCCTAAGGTCTCAGGCTAGAATTTCCTCAACGTATCCGGTCACACAACCACTTGGGCCTTTTAGAGGTTCCAGTGATGTACTACTTCCAGCTGATTCCGTCAGATATCAAGCATACATGCCAATATGATGCCCACTTCGTGGGAAATTTGTATTTCTCATCTGACAGTCTTGCAGCCACCGATAACCCAGCAGTTGAACACGACTTCGTCCACCTGTTACCTATTGCCATTTTTGCCATCAGTCTTCCACAATTGGGCATCTATGCCGAAGACCTCTTCGAAGGCAATTTCTACAAACGTTTGCTGGAAGTTGAATGAAAGTATGCCAAGTTATTGATCTTCCGGTTGTTTCCTGAATACTCCATGTCAGACTCCTGCCACCATATCCCGTTAAGCTATTGTCTACATGTTTCAACAGTGCCATTTATGCACCAACCCAATATGACCTCAAAAAATTCACCGTATATCAACTCCTCCGTCTACCTTGTTTTCAACTCGTGTTCTCTAATTAACCCAAAAACCTTTTATTCGAATCGTATTTCATTCACCTGTCAACTTTTGCCACTGTGCTCCACCAAGATTCTAGGCTCGGGCATCTATGTACACCTTTTGATGAGTGCGTTTTCAAAACCTCTTGATGAATAGTAAATACTAATTCAGAGGCAAATCGGACTCTGTTTCGCTTACGCAACCCCCCTCCCCAGTGATCACCTCACAACTCCTCCGGTACTATACTTCTGCTACTTTCCGGGTAATTTGAGCCGGTGGTTCAAGTGCATGTCCGTCATCATCAAGAATTTTCCCGTTTTTCGTCACGAGCTTTCTCGAAGGCATTTTTTGTCAGTTTACTCACCCCAGAGACTTTACTTCGATGCTATCCGAAGTACTGCGTGCTTTCACTCCATCCCTGTGTTACTTCATCACGCATCTCGACCGCGGAGTTTATTTCAATCACTACTAAGCGATGTGTCCAACTGATCCTCAAATTCAAATTTGCCGGGCATTCATTCATGCGACCACTAAAACCTATGCACTGTTTTATGTTACATATACCCAACTGAATGAACAAGGATATTTTTTGTGACCTCACTTGCACCATATGACCATGCAATCGGGCGTGCTTCTGGTGTCCCTGAGATAAACCGTTATTATTATTATTATTATTATTATTATTATTATTATTATTATTATTGCAACCTTCTCCAACTTCGACACATAGACGCCCAATTTGACACAAGGCCGCGATTGCCGAGAAAGTGTGCTACCTGATTTACAGTGTCCCACTTGCTCTCTTGGGAAGCCACTTACGCCTCCGAATCAACTCTTACGATGATGCAAAACACAGTGAATACATATCCAGTCAGCAAAATAGTTGCAAACCTGTCCCGTTTGAAACACCCCGGGAAGGTTTTTGGGACTATTTTTGAACATACCGAGAATGCAGTGGCCTGCGTGCTTTAACATTAGACTTCGGCAAGCTCTACTATTTTACTTCATCTTGAGGTTTTATTGAAGGAATTTTCAACAATTGCCATTAGGGGAATTAGCACGATTTATGAATACCCTCGAAAATTACTTGGTACGACCCAAGCACATTCAGGTGCCCAATATCCCTGTAAAAAGTAGCATTTTGAGGAGAAGTCGAGGCGTACTTCTAAGTTACAAGCCGCGCTTGGGGTAACGGGCGAAATTCCTTGACTTATACCGCGTTATTAAAATAGTCCCGAAATAGTCCCTTGAGGGGTTTGTCCGGCACTAAACGCCCTCTATTTGCGCTGGCCGAGCCGATAAACCGTAGTTTTTCAAAGAAATAAGATTATTTTTCCTTGTTTTCGATCTGTCCAAGTCCAACGGTATAACAAGAACTCTTCTGAAACTAACTGCTGAAAAATAATACTTACAGGACTGCTTTGGGACTGAAATAGAGCAGATCTGTGCTGACCGGTTGGGATGCTGGTCTGTAGCGACATGGTGGTGACTGTTTGAATGTGCAAAGTCATGACCAAAAATCACTTTAGAGAAACATTACTAATTAGCACTTTGCTCTAAGCTGCTTGTATGCTGTTTGGTGCCACAGGTCTATGCTTTGTTTTACTTCTCGCAAGAGGATAATTGGTTTCCGCCAATTGAAGAACACGCTGTTGTCTGCTCCTCTTGCTGACGATTGGAGCTTTAGCTCCCTCAGCTAGTATCGCGTCCCGCGTCGCTCCCAACCGCAAAGGGTGAAGGACATTGTTTCTATACCGACCGTCCTTCAACTATTCCACCTATTTTTACCGCCTTTTGGCACGCGTTGGAACTTTGGGCTTGTTGCCCGTTTCATAGGCCATTCTTGCATTTGAGTTAGTACCTGGTATCTGGAGTACTAAAGGTCCAACAATCAAGTCCTTGCGTTCAGCGCCCTGGTCTTTCTGGTAAGGAGTTTGAGGACATGAGGCTCAACCGCCGCTGACAGGACTCATCACCATTTGCTTTGCTCAAAACCACCAGTCGGAAGATTCCTCAATGGAGCTTTCTGTAATCCTCCCCCCATTATCCAGATGATAGAAACAGGAAGAAGACATATATTGCGAAAGGCAGATAATTCGTTCACCACTGCCGATCACGTGGGTGAAATTTATAAGTTCATATATGATACGGTACGTGGGAAGCACAGTGGAAGAATGAGAAAAGTGCTGACCACGAAGAATACATATATTCGTTTTTGGGTTCATCGCTAACGCCAGAGCCTTCCAGGAAAAGAAACTAACTGTGCAGTGTTGAAAGCTACGGAAATGCGCCGAAAAACAACTATCTGAAAGCTCGGTTGGTCTCGGCAACTTTCTTCTTGTGCAGACTGATCTGAACTGAACTGAACTGACCTTAGAACTTGAAGGTTGCCCCGATTTTGAATCCATCTTGAGTGGTTGTGAAACTGGGAATGGTGAGTTACATGTATAACTACACTGAAGCATTTTAAGTAATGAATATTCTGAGCGTTCTATATTGTATCGAATTTTCTAAGCACGCTCATTTGATTAAATTGGTTCATGTCAGTTTGCATAAGGCTTATGTGCACACAAAGTCTATCCCTTGTAGCGAATTCGGTTCAAAATGGCTCCGAAACCGATCGGTTTTTGCTCGGTTTGTTTAATACCCTTGTAGCACCTAGCCCGTTCGTAACATCAGTTTTCAGTCGGTTTCGGGTCGGTTTGTTTATTGGCCATTTTACAAGGATGAACAATGAAGTGTAACGAAAGAAATCGTAGACCGAAGTAATGTGCAATCCTCAGTTGGGTTTTTACCTAAATGTATTGGTTCAATTTATCAAAATGTCTTGAAAACCTCAGTGTAGATCACTTTATTTTATTCCATCGAAATGGATGAAATAAGGAGCATTATTCGAAAAACCATAAATAAGAAGATATAAATAAGCATCGTCATGCGTAATTTGGGTTAGTGAAATAAGTTAACAAAGCATCTGATCAGATGTACGTCGACGTACTTCAAACGACTGACACAAACCGCTCGGAAATCGTTCAGAAACCTTCCAGAGAATCAGTCGCAAACCACTCAGAAACCGCCCGAAAATCGATCAGCGTAGTAGCAAAAACCGATCGAAAACCGGCCAGAAACCGGCCGAAAACGATTCGGTTTCTGATCGGTTTATCGCCGGTTTGTGGGGGGTTTTTGTGAATCGTTTGAAGTACGTGATATGCTTCGTTAGTTTCTTTCAAAAACTCATTTTTATCTCTTAATTTATGATGTCCCGAATAACTGTCCTTATTTCACTCATTCCGAGGGAATAAAATAGAGTGATCTATACTGACATTTTCAGAACATTTCGATGAATTAAGCCAATACATTCAAATAAAACGTCAATCAAGCATTGCAAATTACTTCGGTCTTCAATTTCCTCCGTATCAACTCATTGTTCATCCTTGTTAAATAGCTACTAAACAAACCGACCCAAAATCGATCGGAGAGCGATCGAAAACCGATGTTACGAACGGGCTGGGTGCTACAAGGAATGTGTATACACATGCATATATGCATAATCAAATAGCTACAGCCATGGTCATAACCAGTGATGTGCACAGGTAAGTTTATCATCATTTTTGGTTCTGTAGTTGCCAATACTGCGTGATATTTTCCTTTTCGGAAAACCAGGAATCTTGTGCAGTATAAGTAGTGGCAGCTGCCGCAGGGCAAAGAGGGAGGCAGTGAATGAATTACCCTTGCAGCAAGGTCGCTCCAAAACCAGTCGGATTCGGCCAGTTTCCAGGCGGTTTTCTAATGATTTCTGAGCAATTTATGCCAGTTTTCTGATATACGTGATATGCTTCGTTAACTTCGGTTACTTTTTCCAAATTGTTCACTTATATTTACTCTTATCTCCCAAGTTATGATTTTTTAAATAATTGGCTTTATTTTACCTTCTTCAGGGGTATAAAATAGAACGATATGTAAACTTGTATTCTAGGGCACTTCAGTGTATTAAATATATTGAAGTAAAATATCCATTAGGTAGTGTGCATTACCCCACTTGTCTGTTTCCTTAGAAGCAGTTCAATTTTTTCTTTTAAAATGGCTACCAAACAAACCTTTCAAAAACCGACGTTACGAATGGTCTGCGTGCTACAAGGGAAGGTCTGTGTTCTGCAGTTCCCTTAGGAAAATTCACTCATTGTGTTTGCATACTATACACGCTGTTTTATCTGAAAAGGAAAAGGTTATATATATATATATATGTATATATATATATATATATATATATATATATATATATATATATATATATATATCAGTTCCCATAAAGTTTCTTTGCAGATTACAACAGCCTGTACAAAGCAAAAGTACACCTCCAGCCAAGTAAACTGACAAGAATATACATACCGTATTAGTTACTGAGCGTAATTTGTAAAGTTGAATAATACTCGTGTAAATTTTCACAAATTATAATGTTGTTTTCGAACATAATTGGCAAAGTATCGGTATGGGATGACAGGGTAGGCATGTTCATCTCAGTAAATCAACGGAGAGTTTCATTTAAAACCTACAAAGAGGGTAGCAATTTCCCGTCCGTTTTTGCCCTCGGAGATTGGGCATGCCCTAATGAGCCCCGGTAATGTTTCTTACAGATTTTTCACAGTTTGCCCGTACGGGTCCCGTACGAGCTTCTTATGGGCGTTCTGATTAAGAAAGTGTAATAATTAATGAACTACACCGTTAGAAAGTAGTCCCAAAAAGTCTGAAGTTTCCCCTGATGCCCAAAGTGGTATCAAAATAACCCGGTTGGAAAAACAAAAGGGCCTTTTTAAGGGGTAGTTTTTAACGATTCAAGAATATTTTGGCTTTTGTTTTCCAAGTAGTACGCCCAATTAGAATGCAGCTGGGATCCAGATCCTAGAAACCCAGCATTTATTTATTCCTAAAAATATGCACTATCTTTTCGTCTTTCAAATCTCCCCATTCGCATCTGTAATATCTTACTTTATTGTAGCACCAGTCCGACTTTCATCAGTACTGACCAAAATAATAATCTCGAACAAATTCCTCTAAATGATTAAGGATGTGATTACTAAGAAAATTAATGTTTTCGGATGCAAATAATCCGAGCGTTAACTGGTTTTGTTGTTTTTCATCCTAAATTACTGCGATATATACATTTAATAGACAAACCATTTAATGTAAGATCATACATGTTTTCCTTGAATACTACAAAATGTTTTTCTCAGCGCTAGCCCGTTCTCTGTTAAACTCAGTCCAGGACACCCTAGCTTTAGCTTGTTAAAGACCAGCATAGCACTGAAAAATGTGCTGCACGGATACTTTTATCAGAAAATGCTCCATTTATTCATATCAAATTCGGAATAAAAGTTATACAAAACGAAAAATCCGCTCGTATTTTTTGAAATCCTTGAGTCAAGCGCCAGCAGCATCTGTTTGATAGCGGAATGTCACTGGTTTGATTTCAGCTGGCAGCTTTTTACTTTTCGATGTGAAAAACCTAATTGGGTTTTCAATCATACGAAATTCAGACTCCTGCTACTGATAACAATTTCTATGAAAGTCATAATTAAATTTCTCCAGTTTATTGATTACCTGTGTTATACCTTATGGTTACACGTCACATGTTTCTGCCTTCGGTGACACACATTTGCCCATAGCACTTTAAGCAAAGTGCTGCTTGAGTTTTGTTTATGAATGTTTTGGTAAGTAATGATACGTCACTCCAGGTGAGGGTGTTAATTTATTGATCTTTATCACTTTCCGCTTGAGAAAAAACGAGGTGTGAACTCCCTTGAAGATGACTGTCTGTTTACATCTTGGGGCTAAATATTGATATTTACCGGCAACTAACTTTGAAACACAAGTCAAAATAATGAAAATATATCAGAAAACATTCATCTAAGTTGAAAGTCTCTTCCGTAAAACGGCTAGTAGTTTGATGTTACCACGGTGCCTTTTGCATCTTGAGTTGATAATTCAACAATTTTTATTTACTCAGCTAGCGAACAATGCGCCTAACTCTGCTTTCAAAGGCTTTAAAATAACAATAAAATCAGCAATCACAGTGACTGACTGGTTCAAGATATAGTCAAGGGAAGTTGAAGACGCCATCTGATAGCAGTAGTCAAAAAGGTTTAGTAGAACGAACAAGAGTAACTGTAGTGATAATTAAACCATAATCTGCCTTTGTTTATTATGTTTTAGTTGTTATATATTTTGAATTGGATTAAAATTTGTTATGATCACTTTGGTTAGTAAAATAAAGTTTCATATACAGCAACTAATTATGCAGTATCAGTCTTGGCCAAGCGTTGACTGCACCTTACAGTTGCTTCGTCTGATTTATGAAAACTCTTAGGCTCTCTACATCCGCTGAGTGGAAGCTCGGGTTTAGAATTGGCTTGCATGGTTCCCGATCACATGTGTTGCCAACTAGGTTATATATTGATAAATTTCCACCAGCCTCAGGTGGTAAACTATGATATTTTGATAAAATTTTCAGGAGGAAACAGGTAATTTAAATGGCCTGCACAAATTGACCAATTTACTAGGCGCAACATGCGTATTGCATGCGATGGACATCTGAAAAAGACAAGCTAACTCCTAATAATAAATCCCGATTTGGGACCAATAGTGACCACAGTTTCCATTTTTCAAGAAGTCGGAATAAGGTAGTCCATCTGAGACCAGACTAACTGGAATCAGACTTGGAAACTTTGGGTAGCATTTTATTTGAAACAGAAATAACTGCGACTTGGCTCGTTACAACTACGAACCTAAAGATAGAGGTGATAAATGAGCTTTGATGTTATCACCAGGGCTGTAACAGGCCACCGGTCAACAGGTTCATTCAGAAGAAGAAGACCAATTGTGGAATTGCAAGTCGACTTAGGAAACTTACTTTAGGGACTAAAGCTAAGTGATTATACTTGTATTTGTATGGGCGATTTGTGCAAGCGTTATGTCGACATTCCAACCGCCGGACGCGAAAATAGAACACAAAAAGCGAGCAAAGTTTCACGAGTGGAAAAATATTTGCGTAGGTACCCATAGATAGGTTTCAACTGGATAGTGTTTCAGTAACATAGTGAAGGAGAATTAAGTTAGTTTTCAAGTTTTGTAAGTAAATCAGCTTTTACCCCTCCCCCCCTTATTGGTCAAAACCCCAGCGAGGCAGGGTATGAAAGAGCTTTGTACAGATTGATTGAAGAGGAAAGGTTGCGGAAAGCAGACCGATTGGATGAATGGGAGCATCAAAAGGAGGATTCAGTGTGCAACGGATGGTTTTCTTTTAGGTTAGTTTCAAACAAGACCCAATCAATGTGTCCAATCAAAAGAGTATCATTGGGGGTATACGAGATACAAACTATAGTTACCAAGCCAAGGCGAAGAGCCTTAAGGTCCTGTTTTAGAAGGTAGGGGAAGATTACA